ACCTACAAATAGATGTAAGTGAAAAGGTATGGATTGTATTACACAGAAACCTGGTGCACCTCTTCAGTGATTATAAATTGAACTAGGGGCGCCTGGGTGGCTTAGTCGGTTAAGCGACCGACTTTCGCTTAGGTCATGATCTCGCGGTTCGTCGGTTCGAGCCCCGCTTCGGGCTCTGTGCTGACTGCCAGCTCAGAGCCTGGAGCCTGTTTCAGAGTCTGCGTCTCCCTCTCTCTCTGACCCTCCCCTGCTCACGCTCTCTCTCTCTCTCTCTCTCCTAGAAATAAATAAAAATATTAAAAAAAATAAATTGAACTAAATTTTTGAATTTTAAATGTTGAATGTGTGTGGGGCCCTGGGTGGCTCAGTCACTTAAGCATCTGATTCTTGATTTTGAGTCCGGCGTCAGGCTCCACGCTGAGCATGAAAACTGATTAAGATTCTCTCTCTCTCTCTCTCTCTCTCTCTCTGCTCCTCCCCCACTCAAGCTTTCTCTTTCTCAAAATTAAATAAATAAATAATAATAATAAATAATAAATAAATAATAAATAATAAATATTGAATGTGCCTTGTATTCATAGGGTAAACCCTACTTGGTCATGATGCATTACCCTTTTTACACAAATTCTAAGTTTGCTAAGTTCTATTTGATAATATTTTGCTGAGAACTTTTGCTGTTTTGCAATTATTTTATCTTTCCTCCCTTTCTTTGTTCCTCTAAGATTTCTCTTATTGCTCTGTCTCCAGTGTATTGATTTGAACACTCAGATCATTTGTTTTAACTGCAGCTCTTTCCTGGTAAGTTTATTTAAAACTACAGCTATTTCAGGGGCGCCTGGGTGGCTCAGTTGGCCAAATGGCTGACTTCTGCTCAGGTCATGATCTCGCAGTTCATGAGTTCAAGCAAGCCCTGCATCAGGTTCTGTGCTGACAGCTCAGAGCCTGGAGCCTGCTTTAGATTCTCTGTCTCCCTCTCTCTCTGCTACTCCCCCACTCATGCTGCCTCTCAAAATTAAATAAACATTTAAAAAACTAAACCTATCTCTCTTATTATTCTTTTTGATTTGTAGTTTTTCTTTATTTTTTATTGTTTCCAAGTATTCCATAATTTCTCTCATGATTTCCTTTTGAATCCAAAGTTTATCTAGTATACTTCACTTCATATTTAGTAATACTTTCTTTTTTTTTTAGTAATACTTTCTTAAATTTCCTGATATCTGGTGATTCTAAAGCTCTCCTTTTATTATTTATTTCTAACCTCAGTGCATTATGGTTTGTAGGACACATTTGGTTCATATGGTTCATATCAAGGGAAAACAGACACACTCGCCTTTAGAACTTACTGAGATCTCCTTTGTGGCATAGTTTATAGTGATATTTTCTTTTCGTTTATAAGGGTGGGTATTCACTGTTAGGTACTGATATAATATGTATAACAAACTCATACTTAATCATTTCCATTTACTGTATTTTCTTCTGTATTTTTTTTCTCACTTAATGCTTCCCATTTAATAGGTCTTTCTTTCTGAGATTGGTTTGAAAGTCACACATTCTATTTTGAAAGTTAAGATGTTTTCTCTTACCTCCAAACACATGATTTTAATTTGTACCCACAGATTTCTTAAACACATTTCTAGTTTCCCCTAGAAAGACAACTTACTTATCATGCCCTCCTGCCCGTATACTCCCCTACTCAAATCCACTATAGAGAATTGACACAATCCAGCATTTTTGAATTTTATTTCAAATGTTTTTTATATTTTGCCTTTGCTCTTTCAGTCAGAAATAAACTCTGTTGTGCTATATTCTCACCCTATTTCTCATAACTCTTGCATCATCTCCCTGGATATGCTTTTTATTTCTTATTTGAGTACTTCATTTAAGAGTGTTTTCAAGGTAGGTCTTTGTCTGAAGAACTTTTTAAGCTTTGTATAATTGAGAATAATTTCATTATGCCCTCAAATTTAAGCAAATATTTGTATGTACATCAATTTTAAAATTTATTTTCTTTAACACTTTTCAAATATTATTCAATTGTCTTCCTTTATCCAGTCATGTTGATACATTTAATTTTAATATTTTTATTGTTCCTTTGTACGTAATCTCTTTCTCTCTGGAAAGTTAAAATGTTCTCTTTGTGATGTTCTTAAAGAGATTTTTAAAATTACGTTTGTTTGGAAATTCATGGGCTCTTTCACTCTAAATTTGTGAATATACTATATTTCTGGAAAATCTATAACCATTACTTCTGAAATATTTCCTTCCCTCTGCTTTTTTCTGTCTTTTTATGGAACTCTGATTTTCTAGATGTTGGCACCTTTAATTATATCCTCTATCTCTCTAGCTCCCCACCCCGTTATTGTTTATATTTTTATTTTTCACTGCTTGCTGCCTTTAAAAGAGTTATACTATCTGATATTCTGGTTCACTGATTCATTCTTTACCTGTATCCATTCTGCTCTTTATCTCATCTGTTGAATGATTTACTTCAACTAGTATGTTTTCAAAACTAATATTTCCACTTTGTTCTTTTTATATTTCATATTCTTAATATCCTCCTTAATATCCTTGAGTATATTCATCAGGCTTATTTTAAATCCTAACTCTTTTCTAATAATTTAGATTCATGTGGTATATGTTGTTCACTTATTTTTATTCCATTTGTACTCACAGATGTCAGCTTAATTTCACATGTGAACTCATAATTCACCAGGATTATTTTTTACTTTTTATTTAAAAAAATTTTTAATAGTTTATTTATTTTTGAGACAGAGAGAGACAGAACACGAACGGGGGAGGGACAGAGAGAGAGGGAGACACAGAATCCTAAACAGGCTCCAGGCTCTGAGCTGCCAGCACAGAACCCGATGCAGGGCTCGAACCCATGAACTGCGAGATCATGACCTGAGCCAAAGTCAGACGCTTAACCGACTGAGCCACCCAGGCGCCCCTCACCAGGATTATTATTACCCTCTTTGATAATAGGTATTCAAGAAGAGCAATAGGTCAAGCCCTAGCTTCTGTCCCTCTAGGCACTCACCTGACAGAGGAAAGGACAGGGTGATCCCTGGAGAAGCCAGCACAAGGCTTGTGCTTCTTTCATACTAATGTAACATCAGCTGGGAAAATGGCCACCAAATATAGAGTACATTCCCCAGGCCCTGCTGCAGCCAGGTGAGGACAAGAGACCAAGTTCTGGCCAGTAGGATATAAATGGAAGAGATGTGTGCCATTTCTCCAGATTTTGTCCTTAGTGGGAAAAGTTGAATCCTCCAGTTGACCCTTCCTCCCTTCCTACTGGTTGAAATGAACACCAAGGCACAAGTTTAATGGGTACGGAACCATTCTTTGAGGGTAGCAGAAACCCAAGAGAGACATAACTTGGATGCTTGATGATTTTGTAGCCAGTATCTCATACCTGAACTACTTCCATGTGTGTGAGAAAGAAATAAAGCCCAGCTTTTTAAAGCCTTTGTCATTTGAAGTTTCTCTATTATAATAGCCAAACCATGGGCATTTTCCCCACAGAGTTCCAGTTTGGTAGGCAGGAAAAATACTGATAATTTTATTTCATAAAAGAGAAAAACAGACTCATATGAAATAAATAGAAGCACCTAGGTTAAGATGTGGGACTCCTGGACACCAATCTAGGACTCTTTCCTCCCAAAACTCTGCAATGAATTTGTTCCATGGCCTCAACTTTAGATAGTGGTTTTATATACTCACTTTCAGGCTGCATAGGGAATTGTGAATTTTCCACTGTAGAAATAAAACTCATGAGCCTTGGCCATCTTTGATTTGGTCCTGGTTGAGGTTAGAGGCCATAAGTTTCAAGAGAAAGAACCTTGAGAACATACAAAATTCCTTTATTGCAAATGTGAAAATAATCATTCACAATCAGCTATGACTTAAGCAGATAAGGAAGAATTTCAGAGAACAGCTACACACTATTTGCCATAATATTTAATTTAAATTTATTTGTCTTCTCATTATAAATTGTTCATAAGTCTGTTTACTGACAACACAGATAATTCTGTATTGTTGAGAGCTTTGATTGATTGATTGATTGATTGATTTTTGAGAGAGAGAGAGAGAGAGAGTGCAAATGGAAGAGAGGGACAGAGAGAGAGAGAGAATCTTTAGCAGGCTCCATGTGGAGCCTGACACAGGGTTTGATCCCATGACCTTGGGATCATGACCTGAGCCAAAATCAAGAGTAAGATGCTCAACAGACTGAGCCACAGGGACCCTGAGAACTTTGTTTTAATAATTACAAAGATTTTTACCTTGAGGCAATAAGTGTTTATATAATTTCCTATTTTTATATGAAAAAAATAAAGTGTATATGTGTATATATGTATATAAATACACACTTTATTTAAAATATATACTTATATTTTATAATATCTTTCTCTATAATATATACTATAAATATATAGTATATGTTTATACATGTACTATATATACTTTATATATAAATATACATATTAATAATATATAAATTAAATTATATATTATAATTATATATATACACATTATATTAAATTATATATAATCATATATAAAGTAAATAATTATATATTATATATTAAATTAAATACAGATATATATTTAAAGTTGTAAACTCTTTGCCATCCAATATTGACCTTACATGCTAATATTTTGATCATTAACTCCCTTTCCATGACCTGACTAATAGAATTTTAGTGAACTAGAATCAAAGTCTGCACAGACTTTTAGAAGTGTAAACATTGCAAAAGACATTTCTCCTTGTGAAAAGTGATAAGTAAAATACATGAGTAAATAAACTCAACACGTTACCTTTAAAGCATGATGCAAAATCTTAATTTCCTTAACAGTATCAATCTCATGAAGGGATTCAGGGAGGAGAGGTGTCATAAGACATATGCGGGAGTCAGAAGTGAAAAGGCTGAGGTAGAGATTTTTGTGAAGTTCCTCATTAGAGGGGATGGAGGACACCTGCAGTGAAACTACAGAAGTCACTGGCCCCAGGAAAAGAAGACTTTGCCCCTGAGAAATCTCGCCAGGGCACACTTCATGTCTTTGTTCCGCAGGCTGTAAATGAAGGGGTTCAGCAGGGGAGTTACTACTGTGTACATGACAGCAGCTGCTGTATCCTCTTCTATGGAGTTGGAGGAAGACGATGACGGGCACAGATAAGCCCTGATCACTGTCCCAAAGAACAGAGCAACAACAGCAAGGTGGGACCCACATGTAGAAAAGGCTTTGTGCCTTCCCCGCGCAGAGGGGACTCTGAGGATGGCGGAAACAATGTGGATATAAGAGACCAGGATGAGAATAAAGGGGATTAAAATGACTGCTCCCCCCAAGAAGAGAAGCACAAGTTCATTGACCTGCGTGTCAGAGCAAGACACCTTCATCAGAGGTCCCAGATCACAGAAGAAGTCAGGAATGATCTTCTTAGAGCAAAAGGAAAGTCGAAAGATGAGGAAAGTGTGGGTCATGGCAACAAGACTCGTAAGGACCCAGCAGGCGGTAACCAGGAGGGTGCAGCGCCGGCGGCTCATGACTATCGTGTAGTGGAGAGGGTGGCAGATGGCCACATAGCGGTCATAGGCCATTGTGGCCAGGAGAAAGATGTCCATGTCCCCAAAAGTCAAGAAGAAGTAGAGCTGACCCAGGCATCCTGCGTAGGAAATGGACCTGGTCTGGGTCTGGATATTCACCAGGGCCTCGGGCACGGTGGTGGAGGTGAAAAGGATGTCAGCACAGGACAGGCTGGCGAGGAAGAAGTACATGGGCGTGTGAAGACGTGCGTCAGTGCCGATGGCCAGAACAATGAGCAGGTTCCCAGCCACGGTGACCACGTACATGCACAGGAAAAGCAGGAAGAGGATGCGCTGCTGCTCCGGCCGCTCTGAGAGTCCCCAGAGGAGGAACTCAGAGATGCTGCTCTGGTTCCCTCCTGCCATGAGCCCGGAAGCCAGAGAAAGAGACCTCCAGTGAGACCCGTTAAAGCTCTCTAAACATACCTTCCTCTAGATGATTGATAGACATGCCATTCTCTGAACAAAAGAGAACAAATGACCATAATGTATCTGTATTGATCACATAGTGTGTGCACGGTACATTTTTATTAAAACTTACTAAATACAATGTGCTAGGAAGTATGAGAGACACAATTTAAGAGAATTAAGGTAGATTTCTTTCTTGGTTTGTTTCTCTACACTCCTTTCTGTCCCAGATTTCTTTAGTTGCAATTTCTGTTTCTTCAGCTGTACTTTCAAGGACATCAAGAAGTTTTCATTCGTTTACTCATTTATTTATTCATTCATTCCACAGAGTCTAAGCACCAGCTCTGGACCTGGTAGAGTGCCAGGTAAATAGGACACTGATAATTTTACCTCTGGAGAATTTTCAATCTAATGGGATAGACATAACTGCCTATGTTGAAATCCTATAGTTTTTTTTAATGTTTTTATTTATTTTTGAGAGAGAGACAGACAGAGCACAAGTGGGGAGGGACAGAGAGAGAGGGAGACACAGAATCCGAAGCAGGCTCCAGGCTCTGAGCTGTCAGCACAGAGCCCAATGTGGGGCTTGAACTCATGAACTGCGAGATCATGACCTGAGCTGAAGTTGGACACTGAACTGACTGAGCCACCCAGGTGTCCCTAAGCTCTATAATATTTTTATTCAGGGTTCTGTACCCATTCAGTTGCCCACAAATCACTCTCAGATCCCAGACTATCATTCTGGGCATGATCCTTCATGCCCAAACTTTCATATTATCTGTTCTGCCAGAAACCAACTTAACAATCAGCTATTTAATAAAGATATGTAGAGGTAACTCTTCTTCAATTATGTAGGATGAGAAAAAAAAGAAACTATAATCTCCAATCTCCAAAACTAGTGGTCACACACACACACACACACACACACACACACACACACACGTTTCTGAGACAAAGCAGACTGAGGCAGAAAAAGAAGACTTTCCAGGCCGTAAATGTAGTTCAAGATCTTAGCAGATGGATGAGGGCAGCATATGGGGCCAACTCTTGAACAAAGGCCAGACAGTAGGAAGCCCTAGACAGGATCAGAGATGGGGAGGATAGGCTTCAAGTGTGAGATGGAGGACAGATTGTAATCTAAGAAAATGTTAGAAAGGAAACTAAGAGTCAGATTTGGGAGTGTTTAGAATGGAGTAAAGAATCTGGAACTTTATTCTGTATGTTATAAAGACCACAGAAGGTATTTTGGAAAGGAAGTGGTCTCAGCACTCGAGTGGGCTCAGTACACGAAAAGCACATTCCTTTCCCATGTGTGGAACCAATGGAGGGTTAGTCATGGAGTCGGTCAGTCAGATGGAGAAAAAGAATCATCTTCGTTACTGAAAAAGGCCAGGTTGGAGAATCTATCTTAGCTGTGTTCACGAAATGAATTTTGTAATACTCCTCCAAAATTAAATCTATTTTCCCTTTCACAGCCTTAGCTGGACAATCATGGGCCACTGCAGAGGGGAAGACCTGCCCTTGTAAAACATAAAATGTGGAAGAACAATAAAAAAAGTGAGATGTTTCTGAAAGTTATCAGATTCCTAATGAGAACAGAGAAGCTGAGGCCCCAAATTCAGCATTTAGAGAAGTCACTCCAGGTATAAGGAGAGCAAAGGGCCAGGGCTATTAGTCTAGAAAGACACATCAGACATAAATAAACTTCTGTCATCCAATGTAGATCAAGTGATTAAAAAGTAAATAAGAATAGTGGCACCTGGCTGGCTCAGTTGGTAGAGCATACGACTCTTGATCTGGGGTCATGAGTTCAAGTTCCAAATGGGGGTACAGTTTACTTAAAAAAGGTTTATCCTTGGGGCACCTGGATGGCTCAGTTGGTTAAGTGACCGACTTCGGCTCAGGTCATGATCTCATGGTTCGTGAGTTGGAGCCCGGGATCAGGCTCTGTACTGACAGTTCAGAGCCTGGGGCCTGCTTTGAATTCTGTGTCTCCTTCTCTCTCTGTCCCTTCCCTGCTTGACCTCTGTCTCTGTATCACTCTCTCAAAAAATAAATAAACATTAAAACTTTTTAAAAATTTTATCCTTAAAAACACTTTAAAAAGTAAGAACAGAGAATACTAAATAAAATAAGATGTATGTGAATATATGCATATAAATATGTATATGTAAATGTGTATATATAATGTATATCACGGTGCTCCAATAATAGTAATAAATACACTTTACTTTCAAGTTCCTATAGAACTTCTTTTTAAAAAAAAAAAAGTACACAAGGCACAGAGATAACTTCAAAAAATTCCAAAAGGCAATAATAATTCAATTCTCTGATGAAATTGCAACAAAAATAGAGATTAATAACAAAGTCAAAAAATAAAAATAGCCATTCAACCTCGGAAAAAAGTTTCAAATATCTCTATTAAATACCTCTCAACCCAGCAAAAAAAAAAGAGAACTACAAGCCAATATCCTTGATGAATACAGATGCAAAAATTCTCAACAAGATCCTTGCAAATCAAATTCAACAGCACATAAAAAGAATTATCCACCAAGATCAAGTGGGATTCATTTCTGGGTTACAGGGATGGTTCAACATTCGCATTTCAATCAATGTGATACATTACATCGACAAAAGAAAAGATAAAAACCATATGATCCTGTCTATAGATGCAGAAACAGCATTCGACAAAATACAGCATCCCTTCTTAATAAAGACTCTAGAGAAAGTTGGGATAGAAGGAACCTACTTAAACATCATAAAAGCCATCTATGAGAAGCCCTCAGCTAACATCATCCTCAACGGGGAAAAACTGAGAGCTTTCCCCCTGAGATCAGGAACACGACAGGGATGTCCACTCTCACCACTGTTGTTTAACATAGTGCTGGAAGTCCTAGCATCAGCCATCAGACAACAAAAGGAAATAAAGGG